GGCAACAGAGCAACCCATGTTCAAATCCCCTGTGGCCCATACTTAAAATTTTAACTCTCAACCGCAACTGCTACTTTGGAGCTTCGGTGAAGTTGAAAGAACTTCAAGAGACGTATCAAGCGCAAAATCTGAAATATTTTCCTCTGATATAGAACAATGCCTGGTTTTGGCCAAGTTACACTCATCCTTAATGATATTCAAAGAAAATGTATAAATATTAGGATAATCTATAGTCTAGGAGACTTGCGTACGCCTACTATATCCCTATAATTGTGAAAACCCTAATGAGTTTATTAGCTCTCTCTAGGATGTTATTTATAGTGTTTAAGGAAACAAAGGAATTTGTCCCTATCCATTGTGGGATTAAGCAACAATGAACAACTACTCTCTCAACACTCCCCCTCAAGCTGAGCATACATATTGTACATGCTCAACTTATTACAAATCAAATTCACTCGTGTTCTCCCGAGAGGTTTAGTGAGAATATCTGCAACTTGATGGTCTGATGGTATGTGCTTGACTCTAATGATTTTCTTCTACATCTTCTCGCGAATCAAGTGGCGATCAATCTCTATATATTTTGTCCTCTCATGATACATTGGGCTCTCAGCTATGTAAATGGTGACTTTGTTATATCCATACAAGCTCATGGGGCACTCCGGAGGGTAACAATCTATGTTAGTGTATCTCTAACCCGGATCAGCTCGCAAGTTAAATTTGCCATGGCTTGATACTAAGACTCAGCTGTAGATCGTGAGACTACACTCTGTTTCTTTGAGATAAGAGAATTCCCTTCTTCGATCTAGCCACCTCGATACCCAAATAATATTTTCAGGATCCAAGGTCCTTAGTTTGAAATTGTTGATGTACATACTTCTTCAAATGACTAATGCCCTGTGAATCATCAACAATAATCACAACGTCATCAATATATATAACCAAAAGGATCCACTTCTCACCATGAAATCTCCAGAAAACCAAGTGGTCTTTCTGAGCTCGATAAAGACCAAAGATCTGAATGACTGCGACAGAATGTCCAAACCAAGCCCTCGGAAATTGTTTCAAACCGTAGAGAGATTCTTTTAATCTGCAAACCTTACCGCACTCCCTTTGAGCAACAAAACCTAATGGTTTCTTCATATAAACCTCTTCATCAAGAATGCTATTAAGGAACGCATTCTTAACATCCAACTGATGTAGTGGCCGGTGATAGCGAGCGCCAAGCGAAATAAGAATGCGGACATATATCATTTTAGCTACAGGAGAGTATGCATCGATATAATCAAGGTAATAGATCTGTGAATACACCTTCGCAACTAGTCGGGCATTGAGGCGAGCTAGAGAGTCATCTGTATTTACTTTGATAGTATAAATCCATTTGCAGTCTACCGCTTTCTTCCCTAGTGGTAGGGAAACAAGATCCCAAGCCCCATTTCTCTCTAAGGGCGTCATTTCTTCTTGCATTGCCGTTGTCCAACATGGATTAGATAGAGCTTCTGATAAATTCTTACGAATCGAGTGAGAATCCAAATATATAAACGAGTAATATGTTGGAGTTAATGAAGTGTAAGAGAGATAGTGTGCAAGAAAATACCGAGAACTTTGAGAAAAAGATCTCTTATCCTTTCGGAGGGCAATGAGAAGATCATCTATAGCCTGAGCACTTGGCTGTACGAGCACATTTTGACTTGCTAGTATATCAGGCTCATGGGTAGATTTAGACAATGGCTCAGGTTGCAAAACAGTACGTCGTGTATAAACCTGAACTGGTTTCACAAATTTGGATGGCAGATCAATCTGTACAACCGGCTTGAAAGGAATATTGACAGTGATTTTTCGAACAAGAAGGTAGTCATAATCATCGGGAGAGTCTAAGAATTTATCAAAGACAACACGTCCTGGTTTGTTCTCAAAGGAAGGCAACACAGCTAAAACAATATATCGATTCAAGGATGGGCTATACTCTTTTTAAGTCCTAGAATATCGAAGAAAAACACCCTTAAGAGATCGTGGATCTAATTTCGTCCGTTGAGGATTATGATTGTGAATAAAGCATAGTGACCTAAAGATCCCAGGACGTAAATGAAAGGCGTCTTAAGCCAAATATAAAAAGGATATTAGAGTTTTATTCTGTAAGACAGATGATGTTAGTCAATTGATCAAGTAGTAGGCTGTCAAAATGGCATCACGCCAAAAATATTTTACAACTTGACGATGGAATAACAAGGTCCTAGCAATTTCTAGCAAGTGTTTTTTCTTGCACTTAGCAACCCCATTTTGTTAGGGTGTGTTAGTACAAGAAAACTGATGTCAAATTTCATTTTCTTCTAAATATTTTATGAAAGAGCTTTCAAAATATTCCTTAAAACATTATTTGTTCTTAAAATTTTGATAGTACTATAAAATTGATTTTTATCTTCAGCACAGAAAACTTTAAAAACAGAGAACACTTCAGAATGACTTTTTAACAAGTAAATCCAAGTCATGCGAGAAAAGTCATCCATAAAACTAACAAAATATTAAAAACTAAATTTGGACGGAAGAGAACAAGGACTCTATACATAGGAATGTACTAAATCAAAAGGGTTACTGACCCACTTATTGACACGACTCAAGTAAGCCACCCCTTGGTGTTTTCCAATTTGACATGACTCACACTCTAAAGACTCGACATGATTTAAATTTGACATCATTATTTTAAGAATTGAAAGAGGGGTATGACCAAGCCGACAATGTGCTTCAAATACTAATGTGGAGCTAATACATGCTACCTAGGAAGGGGCAAAAGTTCAGTTCGTACAAGCCGTTCTACTTACGTCTGGTGCCAATCGTCTTCCTCGTCCCAAGAGCCTGAAAAATATAATGTGTAGGAAAAAATATTACCGTGCAATTTAATGCTTTAGTATTTCTATTGGAAGATAAGAGATTAAATGAAAAACGATGAAGATATAGCACAGAGGAAAGTAGAATAATATCAATATTAGTACATCCAACACCTTCCCCAGGTGTGGTGGATCCATTAACCATTACTACTGAAGAAAAAGAGGTGGTAAGTATATAGAAAGATTATATACCTCAGTTCTCAGTCATATGATCAGTTGCTCCTGAGTCTATAACCCAAGTATGAGACGATGACGATTTAAGGCAAGCAGTGGGTTTCCCTGTCTGGGCAAGCGTAGCCGTTGTAGAAAAGGATTGTGTATTTTCAATTGCTGAGATAACTGAAGCTGAAATCACTCAAACTGGCGACGGGCGTCTTCATCCATGGGACTCTCCCATGTAGCCACGTGCACTCCAAGTTTGTTTTCCCTGTAGTTGAGGACAACGGAATTTCATATGACCCGATTCCTTACAGTAATGACAATAAATAGAGGAACTCGATTAACCCTCCCCTATAGCTCCTCGTGAACTATTACCTCATCTTCCACGTGCTCCAAAGTGCCCTCCATGTCTACCAAATCGACCTGCACTACGACCACCCCACCGCCTCGACTAGTTGTCTGTCTACTCTATGTGGCGAGAGCAGACTTATTTGCAGACTTAGCTGCTGATCTCAAAAAGTAATCTCTGCTAAAGAACGTATAGCAGAGCTTCCAATAACCTATGGCCTTGTTGATTATAAGACTATGGAAGAGAACCAAGAAGGGTGAATACCATCAATTGATCACATTGATCTTGCATCTTCTGAATATCCTCCATAATGGGAAAAATCTACCTCAGCTCCTCTGCGAGACGATTAAAGTTGCCATAATACTCCTCAAAAGTCCGACAATGCTCTTCCATCTTGCTCCGAAATAACTCCTAAATGACATCATACGTCCCGATTGGTGTGTCCCCGACCTAAGTACAATTGTTCCAAAAACTTCCAACTTGTTTCACTGTATTACAATGAATTACTAGTTGAAGGACTTGTGGTTCCATACTGTTCTAAATTATGAAGTAGACTGGTATCATTCTATTTCCAGGTACGGGAGAGCCATCTGTAAGATGATGATCCTTTCCCCGTCCTTAAATATAAACTCGAACTAGTTGCTTCCAATGTAGGTAATTGTATGCACTCAATTTTGGTCAGTGATCCTCCTAGAGAGCACCTCTGTGGGGTCTTCTTCTCATCTCTCTCATTAATTGAAATAGCAGAATCATTGGAAGACGTCATCAACACAGCAAATAAGATCATTCAACTAGCAATCTCTTGAAAAATAAATTATTAACATCACTCAACAACAAATTAATTTCCAATAAGCAAATCATCACCAACTAATCAACATAGTAATTAGTTCAATAAGTAAAAGCATCTCGCAAAGTTAGTTTCTTCGAGAACAACTATCGCTTATCTCAAAGAGATTGTTAACGACTGATCGTAACATAAAGCTAAATAATTACATGAAGATATATAAAGATCTAGTTGATAAGCCAAATGATTAGCTTAACCCCCCACCCCCTCCCTCCACCCACCCACCCCACTACAATAACTACACCAAAGTCAAGGGGTCAACAAACTAAGCGCAACGGATGAACAGTACGATGGATGAACAGTACCATTGATGAATAGTGCCCGATAAACAGTATCTGCATGGATGAACATTGGTGGCTAGGGTTTAAGAGGGGTAGAATGTGGCGGCTAGGGTTTAGAAAATTTGGAGAAAAAAGGGTGGCTCAAATACCATGTAACTGTGAAAAACCCTAGTGAGTTTATTAGCTCTTTCTAGGAGATTATTTATAGTGTTTAAGGAACCAAAGGAGTTGGTCCCTAACCAATGTGGGACAAAACAACAATGAACTACTCCTCTCAACAATCCCAAAGAGAACTTGATCTAAGATATATGAAAGGGAGCAACAAATAGCATGTGCCTGTTTTATTGTTAATCCAAGTGACACTTGAAGAAAATCTACAGTCAAATATACATGCCAGGAGAAGGAATCCGTCAAGTCATACAAGTAAAGCAACTTATCAGGCATTATATGGCAAAGAAAGAGCTGCACTAGACAAAGGGCCAAGATGTCCGCAAACAATAGAACCATTTATACCACTACCTACACCAGTGAAACCAGCATCCTGTACATTCTCTATGCTTTTAACTCAAATTCCATACAGAAAGACTACTAAACTGTTGCAGTTTGTATACTGTACAGTGATAATTTACAGTATTTATTGCGCGGAGGAAAAAAGAGTGTCATCCCCATTTTCTTCAATCTAAAGGGATATAATCTAAAAAAACAAATAGTTAAAGGATAAGGATACTGTCAACTTAATTACAGGAGGGAATTGAGAGGTACCTCTTTTCATCCCCAGCAAACAAGAGCCACACGTAAAAAAGAACATTTAAGTTTCTCATGGAAGATCATGGAATCAGGCGTACTGGATTCTTCAATCAATATCCTCCAGTTTCTCTCCTTTTAAAGATCTTCAGTGCTCAATATCACTGTCTGAAGAAATTGCGGATGAAGAGCATGATGCAGGCAGTGAGTCAGATACTGTGGCTTGCCTCAATGTCTGGCTCTGTAAATTCTGTGAGCTCACCGATGGATATAGTTGTGAATGTTGTGGGGTCTGCTGTCGCGTTTGTCCCTCATCAACAATTTTTCCCAGGATGTTCATAACAGTTGGAATAAATCTTGATGACAATACAAGAAGCCCAGAGAGCTGCATGCCAGTTATCAGACTAATGAATAATAGGTCAGCTGGAAGTTAGAAGTGACAGATAAGTACATGAGTCGTCTAACTCACATGATTTTCAAGTTAATGAGTAATAATTCCGTTACAAGTTTAAACCAACAGATGAATGCATAACTGAATAAGAAATAAATCTCTTCAACATCACCAGACGACCAATTTCCATCAAGAATATCATTTCACATTCAGAAACATGGGCTTCCATCTTTCCAGGGATAATTCCATGCTTAAGGTAGACATTATCTCAATCACTCTTATCTAAGAAAGTCTGGATAAAAATTGTGAAGTAAATTTATTTTTTTGTTGCTAGTGTAAATTTGGAGGTTGGTTTGGTGATTTTATCACATAACATGTGTATGATCTATCTGTTGGGACACCCTTCTTCAGTTCAATAAGTCAAAATCGATAAGAACAGTGATTGTTGATTTACTACCCATAAAATTTATTGCATTATCTCATAAGCCATGACATGACAAGTTCACATATAAACTACAAGTTTCTATATCATCCAACATTTAATAAAATGACAGATTTTTTTTTACCATGCCATGACGAAACTCTTGAGCGATGTCAAGTTGTACCCAGATGGCCTTGGTCAGTAAATAAAGAACGAAAATTACCATGAGGTATAGAGGATTTCTGTTCACCAGTAAATGCAGCGTTAGTGTAGATGGAAATATACAGGCAGATTCGCATGCATGTGTCAGCAACAGAATTGCAAAATTCAGCTGTGGAGTAGAAATATTTAACCTGAGAAGCATCATAAATTCATTGAAACCAAGGATCGCAATTGCAAGAATAGCCCATGGAGGAGGTAACCAATTGTTGTTGCGCCTATGAGCTTCCTGATAAGGAAAAAAACAGCTTTAACGTCAATAACAGGTAACATGAGTACTAATTTGAATCAAAATAGAATATTGCGGTCTCTGGGAGAAAAAATTACAACTCATGTTGGAGCTAACATAAAAAATGACATACCAGAAGTAAAGACCAATTATCTCTCAGTATACATATTTATTGTTAAATATCTTTATCATAACCAAAACTCATCTCAATTTTGTAATATAGATAGATCACACTTTCGCTAATTAGACTACAAGAGATTCACACCTTTCAAGTTCAAGTTTGGTATTATGCATATAACCCAAAGAATCCAAATAAATATGACTGCCAGGACAAAATAAGCATTTAGTTCTTGTATTTATCTTCAAGACACTAAGACTAGAGATTTACAAGCATATTATTTGGACACATCAGGTAAATTACCTAAGGCCCAATTGCTTGACCCGAGCCTAACTAAAGATCGGATCCTAAACCTCGGTTGACGTACAAAGCATAAAGGGCACAAGTCAAGTGCCCAACAGAGTTATGCAGCATTCAACCAAATAGAAGACCTCCAATACTGTCTACACCTAAGAACGAGTCTCAAAGAGGGGACAGAATGACCTAATGCAATGTTTTTCAGCAACAGGATTGCACTCATTAAATAAAAGCAGGTTACTATGGTCTATGAGAAATGTCTGAAGTAAAAGAAGAAAATAATCAAATAAGAAATCATATCAAATTGGAATTTGAAACATAAACACGCGCGCATATGTACACAAAAACATAAATTCATTATTTACACACAAGACAAAAACAATCAGATAGGAGGCATACTAAAAAGTAGTAGGGAAATGATAAATTACGGATACCTGCGCGGAAATCGCCTGTGCGATAGTGTACTCAGTTTCTGCATTGAACTGTCTCCATATAGATTTGCATTGTACAGGTGGTATCAGTACATCCTTCGGGCTAACCTGGTAGGGGAAGGCATAAAGGATGACTATATTATAGAAATTTTGATCTGCGATAACAAGGAAAGATAATGGCAACAAAATAGTACCTCCTCCCATGTGCTTGAGGATAATGGATCTGCCAATCCTTCCATGCTTCCAGACTTCTTAACTGCGCCATCCAAAAGAGTAGAATAAAGAATATTTTCAATCTTATCTGTTTTCCCATCCAAACGTATAGCCACCAATGTACAGAGAACGTTCAGTGCCTGAAACACGATAATATTGTCCCAGAATGACACCCAAATATCAGATTAATACAGAAGAAATCACAAAGTGAATCGCTAATATACCGCAGCACGAGCGTCCCTAGCAATAGCCCTAATATCTTCCTTTCCAGTCCAGACTCTAGGCATAGAATCATTATCATGGCTAAATACATTTGAGAACCTGTTAAAACCAGGTAAGAATAAGGTAAGTGAAAAGACAATGTAAAATAAACAGATATAGTTACCTACCTATCCTTCATGCGCATCAAAACTTTTCCAGCTTCTTCCTTCGCCTTTTTTCCCACTATACCTCTAGCATAGTTTCTCAGATCTGTTACCATTGAATCTAAAGTGACCCGGTCAAGTTCAAACCCTCGAAGGGATGTTGAGAGCCAAGATATAGCATTCTCCGTCTCTCGCTTATAAAGTTTTCTTATGGATGCCCAAGTATCCTTTCCTCCAGTATCAAACAAGGACTCTACTGGTGCTGCAAGTGCTTCAGTCAGTTTGTTCTGTTGACCAAAATGACACTTGGTCATTATATGTTCCATGATGATAATAAAGAGGAAAAAGAATAAAGAGAATTTAACATATCCCAGAATCAAGATTATTTAACCTCATAATCATCTTTAAGTTTGGACAATTTCGCACGACGAAGAGAGTCAGCATGAGCTTCTATATCGCGACGGAGCTTCTCCATAGCTTTTGTAGCATCCCAATTAGCCTGCTTTATTGCCACATCTAGTGGGAAGAAAAAGAAATAAAATGAGATGAAAATAATAATTCAATAACAGTCTGAATGTGTGAATATAGAAAAGCGCAACTATGGCAAACCTACATATGTATGTCTAGGTGAAATGAAAGCAATATTCAAATTTATATGACAGCAAAAGAACAAAGCACATTTAACTTTGTAGCTACAAGAAAGAAGCCTTGCACCACCTGTAGCGTTCTGAGATGTGCATTAATATTACATAAATAATAATTGGAATTAATAGTTTAAACTTTGCATTACTTTTCTATCAAAACTCCTTAAGACAAGCCCTAGCACCCATTTTCTAAAAAAGAAACAACAAAACATCCATTAAATATTGTTTTACGCAACCCAGTTAACTTTTGTTGTGGCTAAAATTAGTGTAAGAACCAAAAAAATAATCGAAGATATCTTTTTCACAAGTTCCCATTAAAAGCTTCATCTATCTGCAAGCCGTCAGTAACATCTATAAGTAAATTCTTGTGTTTCTTAGTCATGACAAAAATGTTCCCTTATTTCGTTTTAAATATCAATACTAAAAAACAGCACTGTGACTTTCATATGTGTAGTCTGTATCTCCAATCAGGAGCGTAGGCAAGATTCAAAGTTTGCGAGTTCCAAAAAGTCATAAAGTAAGATGATAAAAGATACTATAAACACTACCCACACAAACGCATACATAGAGTTTGCATTGATTGCATAGATAAAATCAAGAAAAAACTTAATCCCAAAATTGCACACCACGCTCTTTTAACGGAAGCAAAATCATCAAGTAATGAATCTAAACCAAATGCCTTATAATATCTCTCTCAATAAAACAAAGCAAACTATTCGCAAGAAATTTATCCTTCATTCTGTTGCAATCTAGTCTTCACAAGTTTCATAGCCGAAAGTGCCCGTTCAATAGTTGAAGTAGAAACTAGACTCAAAATTAGGCAAATTAATCTATCAACAACAGGATAAGTCTTGAACTTCTTAGTCTCTGCTAAAATCTAAAATAGCTTTGCAAAAGAGGACAATCCTTTCAAAATTCGGATGATTCAACACATCAATATAAAAAAGTTGCAACTAAAATCTAAAGACAATCTTCTCCTTCTGTAAAATCATGAGGATAATACTTTTAGCAATGGTACAATTACCCTCTATATCAAAGGATTTGTATCCATCCTTCAGATTCGAATCAACACTACGTATCAAGAGCCATACAACCCGTGTGTTGAATCTTATATTTAGCTATTGAAACTAAAAGTCAATAGTGGGATTCATTTAAAAAGTGATACTGATGTTTTGCGGTTATTCAATCTAGTTTCTGACATATTCGACCTTTAAAATATGGATCATTCAAACCTTGAGCAACAATATTATGATGGGAGCAAAAGGGCATCACCTTCTCAAAGAAAGAATCTCATCTATCTTATCTTAAACTCTGAGTAGTAACCATTGTACTTGACACCAAATGCATTGCATTCACAATGTCTTGAGATTTCTATTGCAAAGCTTGGCAAAGAATATCAGTAATGTCCATGATCTCTCTCATAAAATAAACTATAAAAATAAATTCAAAGGATCTAGTTTTTTTAAAGCTGCACTGACATCTTCTATTTCTTAGTGAGCACTATAATTTTGATATTTTAAGAATAACAAGTTGCATTATACATACTGAGAAGGTTGCAAACTAAAGAAAAATGAGAGAACCAACAAGTATCACCAACACGCTTTAAAATACACATTTGATTAAGACCTCTTCATGAATCAATTTCATCAAAGGCTAGCATGCTTGCAATCTCACCTGCTTGAGCAGCTTGCTACTCATACTGACGCTTAAGAGAAGCAGCAACATTAATGATAAAAGTCAAATCTAGAAAAAACTCATGAACATCATTTGCCTCTCTAGCAGTAGTTATTAAAGCTAATTGTAGTCGATGAGCCACTGAAAGTGCATAACATACGAAAGAATATTCCATAAAAAAAAGTAATTGCTATCCTCCCCATTCATCACGCAATGTTGCTGGTTTAATCATATCCTTGGCCACAAAGATTTTGAAGATCAAAACCATGATGTGAAAGAATATCACAATGCAGAAAAAAAGATAATACTTAATATGGCAAGATCAAGACCCGCTCTCGTACGCTTTAATACGGGCAAGATAAAAAACCGCTCTCTTACGCAACCTCCATTATTAACGAATCAAAAAACAAGAGTCATTTGATCTCCCCGAGCCAAATCTTTTGTTTCATCAACGATAATGCAAAACTTAGAATCCCCAATTTCTTCATGAATGAAAATTTCCGAATATTATTTGCTCAAACACGCAACATATCCTGTATTATAGGATAAGTATACTTTGCATTAAATGGAGCATGTTCTAAAAGTAAATGATGACAATGAAGAGCATATTGAATGGTGTGTGTCCATTATGACACCAAACAATAACAAGATATAGTTTGGGATAAATCAGTAGTGAGTAGGGGCTCATGATCCTCCACCACTCAATACAAAATCAAGTAAAAATAGAAATATACTCAAGAACAAGTAAACTGAGATCAAGTATTTGCATGTATCAAGTCATAAAAGACTTGCATTTGATGTCCCTCTAGCATGGATTTGTAACTTGAGGAACCCAGACGTAGGGGGAGCCTAGATGTTGATTATGAATTGAGCTACTTGGGTCTTGTGCACAACATATAATATATAGCTATTAATTAAAACAATCAGGTAGTTTTAAAAAGAGGAAAATGGAAACCTATGATGAAGTATGTGGTCCTTGGACTTGTGTTATGTTAGAGATGAAGATTATTTGAAAACTAACCTAGGTGCTCCCAAGGCCTGGTGGGTAGCGTAGGTACCACTTAGGCTTAGGCGAGCTAGGTGCTCGCTTTTTATTGCATCAAGAATTATGCGCACATCGCTTATGATCTTTATATAATATGTATCTTATGATTTACTATTTTCTAAGACTTTTGTTGCATGATTCATGGACATGAGAATTATAAGATGATACAATATATGACCTTTCTTATATTTCAATTTTCATGCATCCATGAAAGTCATTACATGTGCACGAGCACTACTCTATTTTACCACTTACTAGACAGCTTTCTGACTGTCAAACCAATTGCAGAACTAAACACCCATTCGCAAGCCCCCCAGACATAGGAGACATCTGTCCTATATGGATCAACACATGGAGTTTCTCAACATCTTTCTATGTAAATATCTAATTATCTTTCAAACTATGGAATTATAGTTTTGGCTAGTACGCTCGGCTATGTGGGGTACACTTATCTACTATTTACTATTTTGTTGCTGGACACATATTTGAGGTTGAGCTGTTATATTGTGTATTTGTTGGACAACCTTTACTTATTGGACATGTATTTTTTTATCTACATGGACATTCTATCTTCTAATTAATGCTTCTGCTTATAATATACTATACTGATTATTGTTTCCGCTTATTATTTGCTCTTGTGTCCGTACTCGGTGATGTTATTTCTAGAGATATGACGTATATACATGTCACAATATAGGCTAAAGCCCGACTACAAACGTTTCCGACCCTTTTCATGTGCTCACAATGTGATTCGATTGTGGTGTGACACTTGCCAACCCAAGCTCACTAATTTTTCATTGTTTAGACCAGAAAGCATCCACGTCGTTATTCTAAATTTTCTTGACTCGTGTATTCCCTTAAAACAATGATGCATATTGTCGTTGTTATCTTCTTACTGAAAGATATTCTAGTGAGAGATAGACTATGCAAATTGCATCGGATGTATTTACAATTTGGGGTTCTTAAATTGGAAAAAAGTTGTGGCAAAAAATGTGCTTTTCTCAAACATATGGGCAAAGATCCATGGTCCCTGCATAATGATGTTGTGAAATATTGTGCAACCTTGCTGAATCAATCTAGTCATGTTGATAAAGTGATGGAGAGGCAATCGACTGAACATATTAAAAAGAATAAAATTCTTGCCAGACTTTCACTTGATGACATTTGTTGGCTTACATTGCAAGGGTGTGCTTTAAGAGGCCATGATGAGCGTATTTACTCAAGCAATCAAGGTAAACTTTCTTCAGTTGAATAAATGCCCAACATTACATAATCAGGATTTGACGAATGTAATTCAAAGAATGGTGAGGTTTAATGCTTCATTTAATGCAAAGTATACATGTCCTGTAATTCTAAAATAGATGTTGCATGTGTTTCAAAATTTTCATTCAAAAAAAGTGGAGATTCCCAAGTTTTGCATCATCATTTATGAATGAAAAGATGCGATTAAGAGAGAACAACTGGCTCTTTTCCGATTTGTTGATAACGGAGGTTGCGTAGGAGAGCGGTTTTCGATTTTGTCCATATTAAAGATTGGTCACCAGTACTTTTTTCTACACTGTGATATTATTTCACATCATTGTTTTGATCTTCAAAATCATTGTGGCCAAGGATATGATAGTGAGATCCTTTGATATATCATATACCAAAAGACAATCATGTGTCATTGAAGTTAAACATGCATTATCATATTAATACACATGACAATGTGGACATTACCTGCAAAACCTTTATCAAATTCAAGCATTGAAGACTTGGTACACTCACGAACTGAAACTGCAAATTCTTTCCCGTTTTGTAAAGATTGTTCAATATCAATTTTGAACTGTTCAAGCGCTTTAGACCGCAAGTGTCCGAGCATTGTTTGAAATGCAGGATGCACAAGCTGCAATTAGGGCAACAATAAATAAATTAGAATGGGCTTGTCATCATTGAAAAATGGTTAATTCTAACTTATGAACTTATGGATTACCACATCAGTCATTAGACCACAAAATTAACATATTTGGAAGGCAAGTGCACGAATTTACTGAAACGTGGATCATCCATTAGTCATATGATGACAAATTTCTGCTTGACTCCCACTCAGGGGCGTAGCTATTAAGGACTTGCCCTGGGCAGCTGCCCAGGGCAAGAAAATGAAAAATAATTTTAATGCTCTCTTATAAGCCATAGGTTAATATGGCTCCTCGGTTCCTAAAGCCTTTTAGCCAACAAGACCCGACAGCCCACAAAGCACATGCCCAACTGCCAAGGTCCAAGGTCAAAATCTATTTCATAAGAGAGCATTTGGGTCCAATGGGTCCAGTCAATCGATCGGAAGCCAAGCACTCACCTAAAAAAATCGCAGAACATCCACTCCCCCTCTTGGCTTCAAAATTTTGTCTTTTAAGGGGTCATTCTTTCTATTATTAAATAGAATTCTTAAATTCAATTTAACAAGTCCAATGTAATTGCAATTTTTTTAGCTTTTCTTCATAATTATAGAGACGCAGTGTATTCTCTAAATTCTAAAGATATAATTTCCCCTCTTTTTATTTTCTTTATTTTTTTAATTATGAGTGGCATATATTTTTATTCAATTATTAATTTATATTCCCATGTGTTCTGTTTATAAATTTGTTATGTAAAACCTAACGTCTCGTTTGGTACGCAAGAATGGACTCAAATGAGAATGGAATGAAAGAATGAATGGAATGGAATGTATATGGGAATGGAATGCTCATTCTCATTCTCTTTGTTTGGGTGTGTTTGTAAGACGAAGCTAGAATGAAAATTCCATTCTGATTCCCATGTTTGGTATCATTAGTTCACAAGTGAGAATAAAATCTTATTTTCTAATAATGCCATTACAACAACATAGATTTTTAAAAAGAAAAAAATAAACATTAATGATAATAACTAAACAATTTTATTTTTAAAAATAAACTTTATAAAAATAGGCAATATTTCGTGTTTCTATCCTAGACTCTATTTCCCTATAAATGCAAGCCAAAGGAAAAAACATCTTAATCAATTGTTCATACATATTCATGTTATTAATCTGGTTATGTCGCTCAATGAGACAAGATTTTTAGATTTATTTTTGTTTTCAATGGGGGTGTAATTTGAAATTACGTAACTAATTTGATTCTCACTTGAATGAGAATGATCATTCCTCATCAATTCCGCTCGAGCCTCGACGCCGATCCCAAGCTCTCCGAGACTCCGACGACCGCCCCGACCAAATCCTCGCCGTCGCCGACGTCCTCCTCGCCTCCCAGAGCAAGCCCTCAACCGCTCAAGCCTCGACGCCGATCCCAAGCTCTCCGACGACCGCTCCGACCAAATCTTCGCCGTCGCCAACTCGCCCAGGGCAAAAAAAATTCCTGGCTACGCCACTGCTCCCACTCTTACATTCATTGCCCTTTCGTCTACACTCAACGCAAAGCGCATTTATTTTGCATGCCCTAATATTGATCCAAGAATCTAAGTCATGCATAAATATTTGGCATAGAAATTAAAAAAAACATCACTCTGTGTAAAGTGCATCTATATCTCCCTCGAATATTTAACGTGTCATGCTGATCTTTCTTCTCGCTTTTCAATTTAATATGTTTTTCTTATTTCTTGCTAGTAGGAAAAGTCCACTGATAATAAGGGTCATCAAGTTGTTATTAGAGTAGTTTTTTCAATCCCACATTGGAAATTATTGGTAAACACGTAAAATATGCATTATCTTAGTGTGTTTTAAGCATGATTTACGAGTGTTTAATACATATTTCGTGTTTAGATCGAGGATACTGCTGTGGTTTGTGTTCTTATATGTAGGTATTGGCTCAAGATTGAAAGATTTGATGATCGTTGGAAGTTTTACAAGAGTTTGAAGCAACAACAAGATTTTGAAGGCATGGTTCGTGAAGAAAATGGATGCACGAGTATGAAGAACTGGAATTTCGACCATGATGCAGTTTGAATCAAGAAAAACTCAAAAGATGAAAGTTGTAGATCTCTTCAACAGGATTCCAATGCAACTTGAATCACCTCATTCCGAGGTCTGACGCAAAAGTTATAGCCAAAATACCGAAAACTAAAGAAACAAGCACAAAATCAGCAAAACAGCCCCTACCACACCCTGGTGTGGTGCAGACCACACCGGTGGCGCGAAAATTAGTTATTTTCCAGATTTTTGGGGACATATAAATAGAAGATTTGACTTAGGGTTTTGGATATCTTTTGTTATGTTCTTTTAGCCATCAACTAGCAACTATTCTAGGGTTCAAGTATTAAAGGAAGACATTAATCTCTTGTAGAAGATTGGATTGCAAGTTCTTATTTTGAAGATTTCAATTGAAAGACGGGTTAATTCTTTCCTCTCTTTGATTTATTTCTTCTTATGATTGATTTGCATAATTATTTGATGTCTTCTCTTATTCCAATCATGTGTGAGTAGATTTCTTGTCTAGGATTGGGAAAGAACCCAACTTTTTGGTGATTGATGATGAATTGATATAGGTTCTTGGTGAAAGTTTAAATCTTTGAACTTGATTTCTAGTGTTTTAATTTTGTTGATTCGCTTGATCACCGTATTAGCAATCATAGGTAATTAATTGAAGGACTGAAAGGTGAAGATTAATACCGGATCTCTAGAAATTAAGCAGGGAGCTCGAACCACGAAAGTAGGCTAGATTCCTTGGGGATTTGATTTGGATTAGCATAAAGCTTAATGGGTTTAATTTAATCTTGATTCCACGAAAGTAGGTTAATTGAGATTGATTAGGCACGATCTTTAGACCTTGAAAGAGGCTTTAGATTAATTTAGGCTAATTCACCCTTTCTAGATTAAACCAACACCAAGAATTGAAATAATTCATCATTGAACACCTAAGTTGTGGTGATAACCCAATCCTAGTCCTTCATTATATTGAATTCCATCCGATTAGTTGTTTATTTTATTTCTTTTATTAAATCTCTTCTAATTTACTCATTAGTTTAGCTAGTCTAATAACGTGAAATTTGGTAATTAACCCTAGTCCCTGTGGGATCGACCTTGATAGCTACAACGAGTCTGTGCGCTTGCAGATTTTGCCTATCAAGTTTTTGGCGCCGTTGCCGGGGACTACGGTGTTAATATTGAGTGCTTACGTTATTAAGCTAGACTAGATTTTTTTTATTTCTCTTTGCTTCTCACTTTCTTTTATGCAAGGGCATCAAACAGAATTACACGACGAAAACAATCCTGAACTATTGGTGACTCTTGCAAATATAAGAAGGTCTATAAAGGAGCAAAGGAACACAGAACAAGCTATGATGGGAGATCAAAATCAACTACTTAAGGATTTCGCAGCCCCAAATGCTCAAGGCACACAGTCAAGCATTACAAGGCCCAATGTTGAAGCTAATAACTTTGAGCTGAAACCATCACTGCTCTCAATGGTTCAACAGAATCAGTTTGGAGGAGGTGCTACTGAAGACCCGAACCTCCACCTATCGATTTTCTTGGAGTATTGCGACACTTTGAAACTTAATGGAGTGACCAATGATGCTATTCGACTCAGATTATTTCCGTTCTCTCTAAGGGACAAGGCTAGGGCTTGGTTACACTCATTGCCAGCTGGGTCCATCACCACTTGGGATCAATTGTCCAGAGCGTTTCTTGCAAAGTATTTTCCTCTAAGTAAAACAACACAGATGAGGAACCAGATCACAAGCTTTATACAGAAGGAAGGAGAGTCACTTTATGAAGCTTGGGAACGCTACAAGGAATTATTGAGGATGTGCCCTCACCATGGACTGGAGAAGTTAATTGTTCACACCTTCTACAATGGGCTCACTTACAACACACGGATGACTGTTGATGCTGCTGCAAGGGGAGCTTTGATGAACAAAACAATAGACGAGGCATACACTCTCATTGAAGACATGGCTCAGAATCACTATCAATGGGCGAACGAGCGTGCTCCTCAGACATCAAAAGGTGGCAAGTATGAAATAGATGCTTTAGATCATATATCTTCTAAAGTCGATGCTTTATTTAAAAAAGTTGAAAGTTTGAGTATTAATTCTGTGGCGTCTACTTCAATTTCATGTGAGATATGTGGTTATGTGGGTCATTCTGCACTTCAATGTCAATTAGGAAACCCCTCATCCATTGATACTTCTGGTAATGAGTAAATTAACTATGTTAATAATTTTAATCAGAAGGGAGACCCGTTCTCCAACACTTATAATCCGGGGTGGAGGAATCATCCTAATTTTTCTTATAGAAACCCACCGGAAAATCCCATGCTCACATCTAATTTTGGTCCACCTGGTTTTCGTGCTCCTCAATCCAATCTCCCTCCCCAAAGGTCTAATTTGGAAAATATGATGGAAAAGTTTGTGACAACTCAGTCGAAATTGAATGAAGAGTTTAAGCAACAACTACAAACCACGAATGAGGTAGTAAAACAATTGGCCTCTAAGATGGATTCCCTAGCTACACATAACAAGATGTTAGAGACACAAATCACTCAACTGGCGCAAAATGCTAGCTCTTCTTCTAGGCCTTCAGGCATGCTACCTGGACAACCCGAGACGAATCCTAAGGGTCATGTGAATGCTATAACTCTTAGGAGTGGAAAACAATATGAGGGACCTAAGATGAAGGAAAATGATGCGGTAGATGGTCATCATGAAGAGAAAAATAAAAATGTGATAGATGTGGATACTGATACCCAGATGCAGGAAGAAGAGAAAGCTGAGAAATATGTGGCCCCCGCTCCTTATAAGCCTCCTCTACCCTTTCCCCAAAGGTTAGCTAAGGCTAAGTTAGAAAAGCAGTTCGGAAAATTTTTGGAGATTTTGAAAAAATTGCACATCAATATCCCTTTCACTGAAGCTATTTCTCAAATGCCTTCCTATGCT